CCCCTCACTAGCTTTGGGCATTTCGAGCTGACTAGCGTCATAGATGCACTGGGAACTTAGAATCATGCCTGTGAAGATTTGTAGTGCTACGTGTCGCGTAAAGATGCCAAATTTCTACTGAATGTCACTTGTTTTTCTCCCGAGCGTGCGCCTTAAGATGGAGGGAGTGACATACAGCAGGGAATGGTCCTGCTTTTACTTCACTCCTTTACATTGACTTTGGGGCTTTGACGTCACTCACTGTACACTGTTCATCAGATATTGGTTAAATTCTGGCTATATCTAAAAATGAGACAAAAAACGTCCAGTTTTTTTATTATATCCTGTATTTCAAAGGTACCTCAGCATTGTAGGTGAATTAATCTAGTTGGCTTGTGTAATTTGTGTGTTCTGTTGTAAAGCATGAATATGGAATACTGTACTTTGGGCTAGCTGCGTCGCATCATTTTGAAAGGACAAGGCGAAGACAAAGAGAAAAAAAAAAGACAGCGATCTTTCTCTATGTCTTTCTTTCTTCTGCATCTTCACGCTCCCCTTTCAAAAAAAATATAATGAATGAAAGTCGAGGAAAATAATAAAATATGCAAGCAGAAGGTCAGTTTCTTATTATTTCTATTTTTGTTTTCATTGACAGCACAATGCTATACACTAATTGGCCCTCGTTTCGCCTCTACCTAGGGGACCAGTGGCTAGGGGGCTCAGCTGCTGACGCGAATGTCATGGCTTTTATTCCAGCCGCGGAGGTTGCGTGGATGAGGGTACCGCAAACTGCGCAATGTCAGTGCTCGTTAAAGAACACCAGATGATCAAAATTTATAGAGACCTCTACTACGACATCCCTCATAGTCATACCTTGGTTTTTGCACATAAAACCGCACATACTACCACTACTACTTGTACTCTTATTTACTAATGCTACTGCCCCATTTCGCTTGCATTCGTCTTGTTGTTTTTCCTGCATCGTGCCTTCGCCAACCCATGAAAACGCTTAGCTTATGTTTGGTGCGTTGTCTTTGACTGCAGTTTCAGAAGAGCGGCGTCGTGTATCGTGGTCACAATAAATGATCCATGCCAGCCTCTCCACTAGTATGTGCACTAACTGATCCATCCCACAGAAATGGGTAATACACCACAGAGAACGACGAAATGACACAACATTAAAGTTGTACGTGCACAAGTGGCCTGGGGAACGCCATCCACGCGTGACCTTGCTTACGCATGATGTTCTTGGTGCATATGGATCATGGGATCCCCCAGCCCTGATACCAAAGAGAGTAGGGAAGGAATTAGGCTCGCGATGGCTACATGGGACAAGAGGCAAGGGATTCAAGCTTGCCTCTACGTATCATGGTTTGGTGGCTCGTAGCAAACCAATTTGAAAAATCACCGGGATAGAATGCCTTTCATTGGGCACACAAGAACTTTTAGTGTCTAACTACAACTTCTTATGTCAGCTAGAGAGGGGTGCTTAAAGAAGTAAATTACAAACAAAACAAAAGCCACATGCGCATCACATTTTTTACCTAAAGGTGCTGCTGCAGATGGGTTAAAATGTCAAAGAAAACACGCCTTCCTTGATACAGCACACTTGTTTTCTTTATACGCCATTTCATTCAGTCATGAAACTGAGAACAAATGAATTAATATAAAAATTAGATCTGATGCAACATTTTAAAATCTTAAAACAAATATACCATTGCGCAAAGAGAACTGTTGATGTACAATAAATTTTGAATGCTGGTTTTACCATGAAATGCTAGACATAGGAGCTTTAACCACAGCCTAATTCGACGGAATGATAGCACTTCCCATCTTAGTTCATTTTTCATACTGGTATAGCTGTCATTTCTGAATAATGGCTTAGGATAAACCTTGCAGCCCTTTCCTGTATTTTTTTCATGTTTGTCATTTTAATACATATGCCAAGGGATCTCATAAGGCACAAGCGTGTTCAGGCATAGGGTGAATGTATGCTGAATACACCCTTCATTGTAACCATGCCGGCACCTGTCTCAGGCTTCGCTGTATAAAGTATAATGATTCGATGGCTTTGGCCACCACTGAATCCACATCAGCATTCTATGAGTGGCCCTCCATAATTTTTAATTCGTTCTCCACCTACCCGCGGCTGCACAGAAAGACCTGCTGTTCAAGACCGTGACTGGACAGTTGTCTGTAGAAAATGGCTGCGGCCATAGATGCCACTATTATTCCCATCTTTCATTTTCTATCATGATTCCCCTGCAGACGTTGCTTCCAGTTAGGGCTGCAGAAATAGCGTCTTTTGAACTCCTCATGCTCTTCCTCCAATCACTCGTGCACGGTGGCCAGCGAATCCAGTTTCACTGCGGTTAGCGGTTGTTTTACGGAAGTTTATAGAACTAGAGGACTTCGTTGAATCTCATAATGTTTGGAAATATCAATGTTGCCTTTTTTTTTATTAATTAAAGTTTCAAACGGTACTCGAAAATGAAATATGGTCTTGAATAGCGCTCATATAGGCACTGATTTAGAAAATAAGCATTTATAGGCACTTATAGGCATTCAATTAGGCACAAACACCTAAAATATGCATTTATAGGCAACATAAAAACACAATAAAAGTTATTCTTAACCTCTACTTCATGCTCATATATCAAGATAGCACCATAGGAATGCTAGGAAAAAAATAGGCACTTGCCTATAATCCTGTCTCTAATGATGATCATGATGTGTGTGTCTTGTAGAACATGACTACATGCTACGCTCATAGCCTGCTTGCGGCCATTTCACTAGCTTCACATGAAGCAAGTTTGGTATCACGTAACGTGAATGGACGGCAAAAGTATAGGACTAGGGATACATGATAATCATAATATGCGTGTAATGTAAAACAAGACTACATTTTATGCTCATAGTACGCTCGTGGGCGTTGGGCCAGCTTCAAATTTACCAAATTTAGTGTTTCATGAGGTAAATGAACAACAAAAATAAGTGACACATCCAAAGATAATAACCATGATGTGGGTGTAATGTAAAACATGACCACATGCTACGGTCGTATTGTGCTTGCGGCCATTTTGCTAGCTTAACATACACCAAATTTGGTATTATGTGATGTCAATGGACGTCAAACACAAATGCCAGGCACAACATGATAATCAAGACATGTAAGTCATGTACGGCATAATTTACATGCCTACCGCTGCTGGGGCTGGTATTGCAAATGGTAGTTGTGCCATTGTTATGCGACTCTAAACAACATACTTCCATCTTATCCAAATATCTGAGTGCACATAACATTCCTACTTGTGTTTACTGTGTGCAACATCTATACTCCTTCTAGCGTAGGTGTTTATATTAAGGTGACATGTCAACCTTTCTCATTTGTGCTTCACATATCATCGATTCCAACTGTACGTGGGATCTGCCAATTTTTCAAAATTATCAATTGCTGTTATATTCATGGAATGTTATATTTTTTGCTTATTAATAATTCTCGTTGACACAACTTGTTAACTGCCTGCTTTGTTTGCTGCTAATTTTGGGGCCATCATCATGCAATCCACTGTACAAAAGAGGCAGATTAAACCTGGCAATATTGAACAACAATAAATGAAGCTCTGTTCATTAGTCTGGTTGGTTTCAAGGCCAAATTCACTGATGGCTCAATAATTGACGGTAACTTAGCAAAGTAGTTATTTATGCCAAAGAACAAGAGTTAGCATGCTGCTGATATAATGCAGATCCCTGCCATAAAGGTATTATTGATTGTAAAATAATATCGTGCTAAAGTCTACTGCCTTTAAATATTTCATTGCCAATCCTATGAACATATATTGAACTATATCATATAGGACTATTACGCAATAGATTTTAATGGAATACCTATGAGCACTTAGCCAATGTTCTCTGTACCTGGTACGAGTACAGCTGTATGAATGGTGAATTTTAAACTGAATGGAACACAAATCGAATTGTGATGACACTGAATGGAACATGAATACGAAGCAAACGCTATTGAAATAGTATTCAAATTATAGGATGGCAATGTTCAATACAGGCCTATACTGGTAAAATGACAAATTTCAAACATCCCACGAATACCATAATGTTTTATCAACAAATATTCACAAGCTTTAACAAAAGAACATTAAGATTGCTTTTATTGAACAAAACGTACTATAAAAATGTAAGCTGAGCAACAAATATTGCCTTCAAAATACCGTATTTACTCGCATAATCGGCATACTTGCATAATAGGCGCAGCCCTAGTTTGGTCGCGGAAAATTTGATTTTTTTAATTCTGACATAATAGGCGCACCCCGAACTTGGCCGTGATCAGAAATGGTTTTACCCCCCAGCGGTACAGTTGGAACACGGTCCCCGTACCATGAAAAAAGAAAAACAATTCGAAGTGCGATGACCTTAACAACGTGTTTGTCAAAATAAAACTTGAAAAGCGTGCATAAGCGAAAAAAACCGGCTGTTCCATCAATTACTGATACCCCCCAAATCGCCACACTCCTTAGAGGTCACGTTATAGTGCCTAGTAAGTATATTCTAGGCACTATAGTCACGCGTACAACGCCGGGGGCTCGATCGCTATCACCGTCATAAGAAAAAAGAAAAACGCCATTTTGCAAGCGGTGTGCGTATGTTGTAGTCGTGTATTCAACTCTGTTCTACCATGCGGAAGTATGCAAGTGACACAGCTGAACTTAAAGGGGTCATGACATGGTCACCCAACAATTTGCGGTTTTCGGCGAAAAACGAAAATAGAGGGTCGAATATGCTTGTACACGTGTGAAAACTGGATTGTGAAAGATTATTTCAGTCCAAAATAAGCTGTAGATGTCTTCAGCTGTAAACTCCGCCCACCGCAGGCGACTGCCATTTTGCGTGGCGTGCGTGACATCACAAACCGATAGGAGCAGTGCAGTCTACTACCAAATGGCACCTTTGGCACCCGGTCAGTGTGTTCACTGTGTTGTGAGTGTTGCTTTCTGTGTGATTTGCACATGTCGCAAGTGTTGCAAAATGGTACCGGTACCATTGTCATGGTGTCGGCACCATCATCAGCTCACTATTCGGGCAATGATTCATCGAGCAGCAGAAGCAGCGACGACGTCGTGTACGCTGCGCATTTTGATCTCGACCCCATCGCCACCAGCTCGAGCGACAAAGAAAGCGTCGAAGACAAGGCGAACTCAGATGCCGACGACCTCGGTGTTGTGGCAGACTTTGCAGGCAACATTCCCCAATGGTAAGTAGCTTTATTTCAAGCGTGCCAGGTCGACGAGCGAGCTTAACGATTAGAAGATGCTGCATTCGCTAGCACACGGTCGGCACAGCGTCCGGCCGCAGCCTCGGATATTTCACTGGTATACCGAACTCGCCGAGAAGACACCGGTCATCATTGTAGCTGTCTGCCGTGAAGTGAGCTGAGCACAAAACAGATGCGACACTTGTGCACCAGTCCTTGCTGCGCACGTTTATCTCCCAAGCCTTGCGTTTGGCGGGCTCTTTAGAGAACTTGAAGAATGACACAGTACTCTCTTTGCTCTGTACACTGTCACTCCACAGCGCAGCATGGGCGACGCATTGGCATTGCTTCAACGTCTGCAAGTCATTCATTTCCAGTAACATGTTGAATAACGCTGAAACAACTCGATTGCAAGCGCAGCTGACCATGAAACACGATCGCCCTCCGTACTGCACACCATCCAGAAGCTCGCAAGCAATCAGTTCGTTACGTCACGGATAGCGAGCGCACCAGTGTTGCTGATTACTAAGCCGCTCTCTCGTTTATAAAAATATTTGATTGTAAATTGCTGTCACGACCGAATGTGCTGCAATTTTGCCAGCTTGTTTGGGAATGTACAAGGACAAACCCACACAACACAAATTATGGTATAGAATTAGTTGTCATGACCCCTTCAAGCTGAAGCACGCAACTGGGCCGCAAGCAGGCATTTCGGTGTTGGAGAAACCAGTATTTGGTACTAGAGGGATCAAGAAGAAAAACTTGAGGCGACGAAGAAGACACGACGGGCTTTCCGCCGTGCCAAAACCGGCAGGCATCCGAACCTCGAAAAGCAACTGTTTTGGCATATACGGGAGCTACGACAAGACGGCTATGCTGTGTCATTGGATATTGTGCAGTCTGAGGTGCGCAGAATACCATGAGCGCAGTGCAAAAGAGCTTAATGCCAGCTCCAAATGGTCAACTGGTTTCATGTGGCGCCAAGCCCTCGCACTGTGAAGGCCATGGCTTCACTTGTGCCAGCACTTGCCCGCAGCATATGAAGACAAAGTCGTGGACTTCCACCGTTTCGTTAGAGAGCTCCGGCTGCAGAAAGACTTCATTTTGTTCCAGATCGGCAACGCGGATCAGACCCCCCTTTGCATTGATATGCCACGGAACATGACAGTGGAGGAGAAAGGTACACGAAGCGTCATCGCCAGAACGTCTGGCGCTGATAGACAATGATGCACCGTAATGCTGGCGGTGACAGCGGATGGGCTCAAGCTACCGCTTTACGTTATTTTTAAACGTAAGATGCTCCCGAAGGCAAATTTCTCTCAACGCATCTACGTCAGAGTCCAGGACAAAGGCTGGATAAGCGCGGAACTCATGGTGGATTGCGTGAAAATAGTCAAGGGATTGGCGGTCGGGTGGTCTGTTGTTCGCGTTCATGCTTGTCCTGGACAGTTCTTGTGGCCACCTAGTAGACCGTGTAGTAGTTGAGCTAAAGGAGCTACGCACAAATTTAGCAGTGATTCCTCTTGTGGCTAAGGTACTCGGCTGCTGACTCGCAGGTCGCGGGATAGAATCCCGGCTGCGGCAGGAAAAAAAAGGGGTTATTACTACAACATTCCCGCCGATGGAGGCGGAAAGGTTGTAGGCTCGTGTGCTCAGATTTGGGTGCACGATAAAGAACCCCAAGTGGTCGAAATTTCCAGAGCGCTCCACTACGGCCTCTCTCATAATCATATATATGGTGGTTTCAAAACGTTAAAGCCCAAATATCAATCTGGCAGTGATTCTGGGCGGCCTCACATCGATACTGCAGTTTTGGACGTCTCCTTGAATAAGCTTTTCAAGGACAATATTAGAAGGCTGTACACCACCTGGATGGCTGGAGGACAACACCAACTGACTTCGGGTGGTAAGATAAAGAGGCCGCCTGTGAAAATGCTGTGCGCTTGGATCGTCAAAGTGTGGCAGGCGATCTCTGACGAAGTCGTCAGGAAAAGCTTCAAGAAGATGGGTATGCCAAACGCACTGGATGCGAGTGAGGATGACATGCTGTGGGGTGCGGATGATTCGGACACCAAAAACACATTCCCGCTCGGTAAGAATGAATGTGTGCTCTCCGACTTGGACTCCGAATAGGGAAAAGGGGGAACACCTATGACTTTTGTGTAAATAAATTTTACGCGTGTGTGTGCAGTTGACGGCTCTCGCTTGTTCAATAAAAGGTACGTAGGTATGTTTGTTTTATGCTCAATTAATTGGTAAAGGATAAAGTCGCCTTTTACTTGACAAATGTGCGGATTTAAAGTTCGAGAACCAAGTCGAAAACATTTTCGAAAATTTAACCTGGCGTAAGCCGCACCCCTAACTTCGAGCCGGATTTTCTGAAAAAGAAAGTGCGCCTATTATGCGAGTAAATATATTTTGCAACGGGCAGGGACTACAGTATTCAAAGTCGTACTATATCATAATAGCACGCTTCAAACAAGACTGTTACTTAAATATCAAGCAACTTCCACGAGTTAATCATCGTCATGAATTTCTTAGCAAAGACAGTGGATTGCTGACACAGTTGTTTTGGCGACACTGAAGTTATACCAAAACATTTTTAAACTGTGATAAATATGCCTTTTAAAGGACCGTAAGTAGAGAGAATGCGTGCATCTGGGTAATTCGATGGCGAAATTAAAGAAAACTTGCCTCTCGTTCTCACGTCTCATTTTTTCAAATATTCTTTGCCGTTGATGACTACTCGAAAACTATTTGAAAAATATTCAGTATTTCAAGTATGCCCCATTGGATTCGAGTACCGAATCCAATATTTGCACACCATAGGCATTAGCCAAGGTGAGACGATGACAACAACAGTCGTATGGTGGTGGCCTGTTCGTACCAGAAACTTTCTGGACGTAGCCAGAAATTATTTTCGGGAGGGACAAGGGGGGTTCACACCGACCTTACTTAGGAGAGGGGAGCACAGGCATAAGTTTTTTTTTGTGACGCGACTATTGGTGGTAGTTTGAGCAGATTGTGTACATGTATATGAGTTATGAGACTTTCCCCTCCCCATGCACATTCTTTTGAAGAGAGTAAGTAAAAGTAAAGCAATCGCAGTAAAATGCAGTAAAAAACAAGTACAGTGCTTGTTTGCAGCAACGGCCTCTCTTCACACCATTGAAAGGACTAGTCTTCAAGACGCATCACTGCAACGACCTACCTGATCGGGAAAGACATCGTTAGTCGTTAATCCTTGTTAAGCGTAGATGGCGTAGTCCTCGGCAGGGCGAAGTGAGTTTCACAAGTCAAGGACGGCTCCGCTTTTAATGTTGAATGAGAGCAACTGTGTGCCTATGGGAATGATCTTTATGTTCAGCTCCATATGTCAAGCAGCCCTGACGCAGTGATAACTTTTAGTCTACATTTTTTTTACTTTTATGCGTGCATTCAAGCGTGCTTGTGATACGCAATAATTAACTGTTTTTTAAAAGTTATGCTGCACGTTGGCAACACGATTTCGCAGGTGTTATTTCTCAGGAAGACTTTCTCGCAAGCTTGGTTGACACTACAATTGCTCTGTGACTTTCGATAGCAATGAAGTACTCTAAATTAGCGTGCAATCTGCGAGGGCAAGGTATTCATTGTTGATTAATGTTCACGTGGTGTCAATCGAAAATGCAGCTGGGACCAGACTATACTTACTTTGCAAGCGTGCTGCAAGCGTGCTGCCGCCATTTCTATTTACGCCAACAGATTCAGAACTGTACAGAATATTTACCACGCAGCATCGACACCCCATGCATACACTGATAGTTCATGTTTGCATGAGGTGCCTCAAACATGTTTGCAGCACTTGCGTTCATGTTTGCAGCACTTGCGCTCTGGCACGATTAGGAGCAGCCTCGTGCCACAGAAAATCTCTAGTGATCGGTTCACTAGTGATGAAGGAATGAAATCCAGTGTTGTTTAGAGCATAGTTCACCATAATCGATTTCTCAGACGCTTGAACTCCGTCGGGAACTGTAAGCGCATGCAGCAAGAGTCTGTACTGTGTCTGTCGGTTGTCGGTATTGGGCATTCTGATGCGAGTTACTGGAATTTCACTACTGGCATCATTTCCTTCGCGTTCATTCACGTTTGTGTTATGGGATCACAGCGCAACAGAAACTACCAGTCTTCCACAGGGGCGGAATCAGAAACGGGAGACGTTTCGCGTGCAGTGTAAGATACTGGACGAGTGCGACCTTACCGGCACCTGAAGGGAAGCGGAGGAATTGTAATCTCGCGAATCTTTCTGCCAGAAGAGAAACGAGTGCTAGTACTACTACTACTAGTGTTTAAGGTGGAATTTTACCAGCCGATGTGTATCTTCGCTAAAGTTCTCGTTCCTCCTATACAGTGTCACTGCCCCAAGTTTGCTGAGTGCGTTGCTTCCTAGCAATGCGAAGTCACCCCGTTGAAATAGGCTGCCTACACGTATTGCGGGGCAGTTAGTGTTCTGTCAATAAGCGGCCTTCTATGAGACTCGATGGCCGCGCCTAAACGCCATAAAGGAACGCTTCATAATTAATTCTCGAAAGGCGTCGCTGCTCCCAGTGCAGACTCGACAACTGGCGAACAAGCCACAGCAGCCGAATAAACGGTTCTCAGCTGTAGTTCTGCATTGCCTGATTACGACTCGTGTTCTGAAAGACCTCCTGAAAACCGATCAGAGCATGATACATGCACAAAAACCACGATTCCTGATAACGACATTGGTGTTTACATGTTTAACGAGCCAATATGCTAGAGTTGCAGGATGATGAGACGAGATGACGTTTGATAAGGACAACATGGAAACAAGGTGCTAATTACAGCTTTTTCTCAGTAAGTGAAAACTGAAGTTTCAACCTCTCTGGCAAGAAATGTTTTCCTGGCTGCTGGTGTATTTCAATTATCAGGAGGGAGCAAGACATGTGTGCCTTTTAGAAAAGAAAGTTCAGGCAAGAGGACTCGCCGAGTTTTTGTTGCAAACTTAGTCCTCTCTCCGTTCACACATTGGAAAAACAGGCTTGAAAATTTCAGAAGCCACAACGAGTGTGACTAGCACAAGACCGCTGCTCTATACATGACAAGTTTTCTTGAAGCAGTCAAAGGTGAGTCAACCTCTGAAAAGATGGAGTTGTCAGTGCAAGAACAAAGTGAATTAAACAGAAAAAACTGATCTCCATCATAGACACTGTGATCTTCTGTAGAAGACAAGGTGATTATGAGACGATTATAAGAAAAACAATGCGATTATGAGAGACGCAGTAGTGGGGCGCTCGGGAAGTTTCACTACTTTTGGTCTTGAACACGCACTCAAATCAAAGTGCACAGGGCTCGAGCATTTTCGGCTTCATCGAAAATACGACACGGATTTGATTCCGCGACCTGCGGGTCAGCAATGAAGGTCCATAACCAGTGGACCGCCGTGGCGGGTAGTAAACAAGACGGTTTGGGCAAAATCATTATGCACTGCTTTTGTTTCAGCTGTAAGGACACAATTTTAACTGATTGGGATATATATTGGTGAAAATCATTTTCACACTTGGCAGAGTGATTCCGATCTCTCCGGTTGCCTACTCCTTGCTTTTCGGTGGCACCTTTCATTTGCAGACGTGGTTCGCATCTACGAAAGGTGCGAACGCCATTGCAACAACCCAAGTTTGCATGTAACAATGCTCGTAAATTTTGGGTAACATATGTGGCATATATTATGACATGTAATGCGCAGGATGATAATGCGCAGGATGCGCAGGTTACTATGTATATTGTTCGTAACTTTACATCATGACATGTCGACCCATGTTTCTTTTTTTTTTTCATTCTGTGCATTTCCTGTACGTTATGTCGCTAGTTGCAGGAATCGCTCGGTGTGCCCTACTAGCCATGTCATTGTAAAGGGACGAACAATATTTTAGTAGGTCTTTATAAGGTTGGGATTGGCGTGCACGATTGCCTGTGTGGCACATTCATCACTAGACAACACCTTGGAGGGCCTTTAGCCGTTAGGGCATATAGTAAAGATATGTAGGCAGTGGCGTACCAGCTCTTTCGCGAGGCGAGGGGGGGGGGGGGCTAACTTACCACACTCTTCAGCTGGGATATATATATATATATATATATATATATATATGATGTAATATTCTGTGGTCCCTCCTGTTCAACGCTTACCTGCTCTGGAATACCACAGCACAAAACGCGAAAACGTCGCATAGGCAACCCGCACCGCAAAGAGCCAACAAGGAAAATCATCACACCGGAAAGGTTGGCAAAACTTCACTGTGTTGGAACATTGCCTCGTAACATTTTGATTTTCCCGTAAGAACATAAGTGAGTGATTACTGTTGCGATGTAGAACTTCGGCTTACTATAGTTGATTTCCCCAGCGTGCAGTAAAGAGTGACCACTGTCGAAAGTGGAGCCCCCCCCCTTCAACTTTTCTCAGTGGGGGGCTCGCGCCACATCGCCCCCCCCCCCCAGCTGACACGCCTATGTATGCAGAACAATGAAAGTTAAGTTGGGCAAGTTGACAACGTTTGACGACATTCTTGGTAACATTTCGGTCTCCTAGCCTTCCGTTCTCCCGTCCACTGTGTGCGCGCCCAAATTTTACCAAGAATGTAGAACAATATATTGTAAACTCACATACAAGCGAAGTTTAGTGGATGATCCGAATATTCTGTCGCGCGCGCGTTTGTGTTTGTGCGTGTGTGTATTAATATGTTAGCGGAACGTGCGAAGGTTCAATAAAAATATTAATCTCTGACTTGAGCATATCTGAGCACACGTTCGAAGAGTCGCACTGTAATAGGCTTGTACGTGGTCTATCAGACCTTGGAACTGTTTCTCTCTTTTACGAGGCCTAGGAAAATCGTCGTAGAGATCGACTCCGGCGAGATCGCTTCAGGTGGGTACAAGTATGATCACCGCTGCAGCTATAATCCCGCCGCTAAGCGGTCGAGACGCCTGCCTAAAATGTAACAGAGTGTCAAAGCCTTGACAAATACCGTGACACGTTTCTTCGGCAGACATTATTCACTGTAAAAGCGCCCAGGAATGATACTGTCATAGTAGCACCGCTTACAGTTTCTAACTCATGTCAGCGCGAAGCAGTGAAGAAAAAAAAAAAAAAACAGTCGGCCGATTCCGCGTACCTGGAAATCGACGTTATGCGTAGCACGCAGAGAGAAGGTGACCATGTGTCATTTTTTGTTTTGCTGAGCGACACGTAATGAAATGACGCTGAATATATACAAATGTCGCACACACACACACACATATGTTGAAGAGTCGCAGATGTTTAAAACACTAATTCTTTGCACTTGCGCAACGATGTCAACCAGAACATGCGTATCAGCAAAACCAGAAGCTGATATGAAGCGCTGATGCTGGCTCTGGACACTTCTATATAAATCAACTTCAGCGCATGGCACCTTACCACAATTGATGTTAGCCCGACGTGACGGCTGTATCAAGCATATGTATTGCGTATAAAATTGGGTGCGCAGTACTGCAACCACTATTGACGTTTCACGAAGATTACCGTCTATTTGAAAAGTAGTTCCGAGACCTGGAAGAGGAAGAAGAAGCCGCGCCGATCGGCTGCGTTCCAAAATGCTCTCTGCTGGTAACAGCGTATCGGCCAACGGCCGAGGATCATCGACTCCGTTTCATGATGAAGACTAAAGCTATAAAGTCGTCCTGCCACGTCTTCCAACCGGTAACGATGTTTTGAATTCTGTTTTCCTTTATGCCGACTTGAGTGGTAGGCCGTACCGTGCCCCAGACTTCCGTGACGCGCTGCTTAAAGTGGTGACCACAGCGGACATTAAAGGAGTTGGCCAGTATCAAATGAGCCATGTATGGATGGTTACGTGTGCAAGCAGCATGGCGAAACAGAAACTCGTCACTTGTGGTGAGCTCCGTGTAAAACGGCTGAAGTGCATGGTGCTAGATCCGGAGACTAAGAATATTAGGCTGAAACTACTTTGGCTTCCGCCTCATCTTGAATCGCGACGTGTTGAAGAGGCGTTCCAAGCTTACGGCGTTGTGAAGTCCGTTGAAAGAGAGGCATGGAGATGTGCAGGAATGGAACTGGATGACAACAAATAGAGACGTTGCCTTGGAGCTCAAGGACACCATCACTGTGAGCTCATTACCACATTTTATGTCAATCTATGGCCACCAATGCCTCGTATTTATTCCCAGTAGGCCTCCACTGTGTCTTCGGTGCAAGCGAGTGGGGCATGTACGACGACAGTGCAAAACACCGAGGTTCTTGCAATGCCAGCGTTTTGGTCACTCGTCAGATGCCTGCGTGTCGACTTATGCCAACAAACTCCGTTCTGGCCAAGGCACAGAAGACCAACGTCTCGATCATGTTATGGATGTCACTGAGGTAGTTGATGCGACAGGAGAAGCAGCGGGAGGAGCAGAAGGTGCCTTAAAGGAAGCGGAACACTTGTCCATGGATACCCTTGGCATGCAAAATAACACCGCTAACGACGCCAGTGAAAGCATAAATGAATGCAATGCCGCAGACGAACACCACTTGGAATGCTTTAAAGACAAGCCTCCTGACAATGAGGAACAAGAAGGAATGGATAGCAGTCAGACAAGGAAGCGTCAGGCACCGGTCACCGATGAAGCAACAACGAGTGCGCCAGACACGACAGAGCAAGTGTCTTCGTGTGGTCCACGTTTCACCTTCTTTGGGGACCGAGAGGCGCTCCGCCTATGCCAGCGTCCTGAGGAAAGTGCTCCTAAAAAGTGCAAAGGAGGTAAAGCCACAGGTTGGCCTGTGGCTAAAGGTGACCTACAAAAGTAGTAAGATATCAAAATGGCTACTGCGCTAACGTTTCCCATGTGTGTAGCGACACTCAACGTACGTGGCTTGAGGAATGTAAGGCGTCAGTGGCAGTTGCGCCACGTGCTTGAGCAGTACAACATTGATGTACTTGCAGTGCAAGAGACTAAGATTTCCGCTGCTCGTGAGGCTGATCTTGCACTGTAAGTTTTCCGTGATTACAATTTATACATCAGCCCAGCACGTGGTGCATCCGCTGGATGCTTTTTATTAATTAGAAAGCACTTGAATGATATTTTGACGTCACTACATGTTGATGGGGAAGGACGCCTCATTTGTTGCGACTTATCTTTTCATTCCCATAATTGGAGGTTTATCTGTCTATGCTCCCTCCAAAGTGAATGAAAGGAATTCTTTTTTCCTTTCTTTAACTTCGCTACTAAACACTGACAGAACTTTGGTAGTTTTTGGAGACTTTAATTGTGTTTGTGACGCTAGAGATCATTCATATATAACAAATTGTTATGATGCAAGTGCAGCCTTATTGCAGAAACTATTGAATGACCACAATTTAATAGATGTGGGAGCGCATGCACCTTCCTCGGTGAGGTTCACACACTTTCAAGGCATCTCTCATGCTCGGCTTGACCGTGTATATGTATCTCTAAGCTTATGGTCTCACATTCATAATTATGCTGTAAAGCCCATATTTTTTACAGACCATTGCTTCGTCACTGTTTCTTGGGGTCCTAAAAATTTTCGTAAAACCCCTCTAAACTGGGACCTATGGAAGCTCAACGTACAGTTGTTGCGCGAAGATTGTTTTGTTAAAATAGTAAAAGAATCGGTACAAGAGGTAACACAGTGTCGACAGCTACCAATTTTCGCTCAATGGGAAAGTTCAAAGAAAGAGTCAAGTATCAGGCAATTAGTATTTCATGCGAAATTGCGCAAAGAAAAAAAGCTGAACAGCGCTATCTTTATGAATTACTTCATAAGCTTACTTTTGAAAGTCAACAGCCGGGATTGTATGGGGACGAGATAAATGTGATTCGAGCACAGATACAAAAACATGATACAGATTTATACAGAGGAGCTAAGATTCGTTCCCGTGTTACCCATTTCACTGAAGTGGAACCCACTAAAAATCCCTCTGAGATGAAAAGAGATATGCACTTTCTAAACAGATACTGCAAATTTAGTCGCGGGGTTCCCTTTGCACAGAGACAAGTGAAATAAGAGCCGCATTTGAAGATTATTACAAATGTTTGTTCACCGCGGCTGAGCTTCAGGAGAATTTTGAGGAAGAAGCTAACCACTTCATTGCCCTTGTGCCTCAGTTACAAGATGATGATAGACTCCCTGTAGAGGGGCCAATAACCAGAGAGGAAATTAGATTTGCAATAACAACGTTGCAGAAAAACAAAACTCATGGCCCAGATGGCCTTAGGGGCGAATTTTACATAGCTTTTCAGGAACTTCTGATACCTTTCCTTGAGCAACTTTTTAAATAGGCTTATGACCGTGGTGAACTTCCTCCTTCTTTCTATCAGAGCCATACAACATTAATCCCAAAAAGTGCTGATCCTAACACATTAAAGGGAGTTAACAAATACAGGCCTATATCGTTATGTAACGTTGAGTACAAAATATTTGCTAAATTGTTGACAAATCGGCTACAGACAGTGATTACTAAATGTGTAGGTGACCACCAAACATTTGGAATTCGTGGTCGCCCTATACAGACAAACATTCATATTGCACGTTCAGTTCTTGAGTGTATAGATGGTAGCATGGACCAAGTAGCCCTCCTTCAAATAGACCTTGCAAAAGCATTTGATAAGGTACAGCATGCTTTTTTTGTTCCGGCTCCTAAGACACCTGCAGTTGGGTGATGTACTATACAATGGTATCTCACTCTGTTATAAGAAGTGCACAACTAGGCTAATTGTAAATCGCACACTTTCCAATATAGTAGAGTTAAAATCATCTGTACGTCAGGGATGTCCGCTGTCACCTTTGCTTTTTGCAATTTATCTGGAACCATTATGTTTAAGTGTGCTTCTAAAGTCCAGCATAAGAGGCTACCGATATGATGCTGAGGAAGTTAAAGTTCTAGCTTATGCAGATGATATTGCCTTCTTTCGTGCTGATAAACCCAGCGTTCAAGAAGCAGTCAACACTACTTTAAGTTTCTGTGAAGTCGCTGGCGCCAGCATAAATTTTGATAAAAGTAGTGGATTCTGGCTAGGCATGTGGGCTGCAACTCCTTCGGTCTTCGCAAATATTCATTGTAATGCGACTCCTATGAAATACCTTGGTGTGCCTCTCGATAACTATCGTAACAGCGGCCCACACTGGACCGCTGGGATAACTACGATCCGCCGAAAGGTGGCAACATGGCACGGACGGGAGCTTTCCATTTTTGCCAGTGCGAAAGCGTGCAATATATTCCTTGTATCGAAGCTTATTTATATTCTGCAGGTGTTGCATTGCTCTCGGGTACACATTCAAGCTTTTCATAGGATATTTGCCTGCTTTATTTGGAGCTCTTTCTGGGAACCCATGAGAAGAGACAGTCTTTTTCTTCCACTCGAAAAGGGTGGCCTCGGCCTTGTGCATTTGTTCGTGCGACAGTTGGTGTTGCGATTTTTCTACCCCAAGGATGTGTGCCACCAATTTCTATTAGTGGTTCTTCGTAACCGTCTATGTTACCACCTTCCTTTTATTCATGTCACAACAAGCGTTGCCAAGGAATTGCCGTTGCGGGGATTCCTAAAAGAAATTGTTGATACTGTCAGTTTTTTGAAAGCCAGGTTTACCTTAGAGTATTTGTATACTATTGACAGAACAAATTTAACCGCTGCACTTGTGAATAATCTTTTCCCCGAACCTGTTTATCGAAAGCCATATTCGCTTCTGTCTGGTCACGATGTATTATTTCGTGTACGTAGAATGTGAATATCTCCTTCAGCGAAAACATTTTTCTTTAAACTGCACACTTCCACGCTGCCAGTGAAAACGTGGCTGAATGAAAAATCAATATACGTACCCTGGACAGTGAATTGTGGACTCTGCAACCAACCTGAGACTATAGAGCATTTTTTATTCATTGTCGTGATGGTTTTTATTTTTGGGACATTCTAAAAAGAACGTTAAGAAAAGAACTTCCTATCACAGCCCATCGTATTAGGTTCCTTCCGTTCAAAAAGAGTCTGACTGATAGTACTCCTTACGACTTGTTTATGTTGTTGGGACTTTATTCATTATGGAAAAGTCGCATGATCGATAGACACGCCGAGCCACCACGGTCGACGAGATCTGTCTTCCGAGAAGCAGCTGCTCAAGTGCGCAGTGTTGTCGAGACTTTTGACCCCGTTCCGGAGTGGCTTCCCGTTCTTGACGCTTGTGTGTGCCTGACTTCTGATGAAGTATGTTCTGTGTACTTTACTGGTGATAATGTCATTCATTAAAGAAAAAAAAAATTGGCATAGCTCTGTGGTAGAATGCTTGACTGACACGCAGAATTCTTGGGTTCGATTCCTGCTTGGACCCTGAAGTTTATTATTTGCATTCGTTAGGGGGTCAGCGTCGCCAATGTCAGGCTTTTCTTAACACTGACATTTATTCTATGCCTTAGTTGAGTCGACGCTACCGATGTCGGGTATTGCTTAACGCTGCCGCGTTAGAATTGCCCTTGTGTGTTCTCGTCGTTCCTGGGTAGATACTAAGTGTCAATCACCTGTGGCACATATCCTATTACCAGCGACACATACACACCAGTGAGTATGTGTTCCCGACTGACGGGAAGTGTTTGACGACGTACGCAACGGGATTGTGACGTTATTCATGTCTTGGCCAGCGGGTCATATTCGTCAAACCATCTTACCCACCCATGCTAATCTTGGGTCACGCCAAGTTAAGGGGGTGACCACGATAGCATCCAAACGTAAGCGGCTAGATAGATAGATAGATAGATAGATAGATAGATAGATAGATAGATAGATAGATAGATAGACAGATAGATAGATAGATAGATAGATAGACAGACAGACAGACAGACAGACAGACAGATAGATAGATAGATAGATAGATAGATAGATAGATAGATACGCTCAAAGTCACCGAAGTTCACTAAGAAATGCTTCGCATTTAAAAAAAGGTGGGTAAGTTGCGGTGAGGGATGTCGCAAAAAAATTGGGGGAAGATATTTGAATCCCCCTTGAATACGCCACTGGTTCGTAATACGCTGCCGTAGTGAGTATAGGATGCATGGCGCTGTTTGAACTATTCAAGCGCTGCGTGCATGCACGCATTCGTGTTCTGCATATACCAAGCAGTCTTTCTTAACAAAATAATTGCTGTACACGGCGAAGCGTATGCGCTTGCGACAACCCCGAGGATTTATACAAGCTGCATTACACGTTTCTTACGTAACATACCCAATGTTACCACCACTGCACATCGGGTTACCACAGGTTGGCGCCGCGTAACTTGCGTGACGTATTGGCTGGCTCTTACGTCAGCTGCTCGTCCATACGTACGGTGTATAAACATGCACCTATCCGGGGGTCTTAAATCCACGTGCGTGAAAGCCTTCGCAGGTAGGTAGGTAATCAACTTTATTGATTCAAGAAGGAATCATTTGAGGGGGGGGGGGGGGGGAGTTAGGGGAAGTGGAATCAGGATCACGCAGCCATTCGAGGTAACATCGGCAAGCCACAGCGTCTCCGCGTGCTCGTAATCATCACTCATCGCGGCCTTAATGTCTCGAGCCGGACGCGAATATGCACACCGGCGCATTACGTAAGCGTCGTTCGTTAGGCCTAAAGCGTTCCGTTATGCCGCGAAAGCAACTACAGAAAGGAAACGCGCTGCAAAAGAGAATACTGTACGTGGTGTGTTCGCGCTATACTGACGACGGGTAGAGATGCACGGTGATGTTCGTGGCAATCGTGAAAGGCTTGCTGCGCCAAGATAATGTTCGCACGCGTTAGGCTTATATGGCAATGCATGTTGAT